AATACGTGTGTGTCAAAAAAACTTAGAAAGAGAAAATATTTTAACTTTCTCTTAACTATTCTGACAAAAGTTGAGGTTTTGATCTGAAGAGGAAGAGCATTGCATAATGTAGGGGCGGCATATGAGAATGTACGTTTACCTAGGTTTTTATGTCCCCACCTATGTCCCAACCTGCCTTTCTCAAGAAGGTGCTTGTTAGATGATTTAAGAAGGCGAGGATTAGATGTATCTTGGAGGAGATTAGAGACGTATTTGTAGGCAAGACCATTGAGTGCCTTATATGTTATAAGCAATATCTTAAAAGATATGCGTTCCTTGATTATAAGCTAATGTAGTTTTTTAGAACAGGGCTTACACGTTCTCGCTTCTTTGCGAAGTCAGTGTAGCTGAGTTCTGGACAAGCCATGCAGTGGTGGCGTCAGGATTTCCCCGACGGGGGATCCAAGGTTCCCGAGAAGGGGGGGGGGCGGGCTGATGTACACGACGAGAAAAAAATTGGGCGTGGTAGCTCCCCGAAAATATGACAATTTAGGGGTTTCAAAGGCTAATTTAATCGATTTAGTCTATTAATGTGTACAAAATACATATTACTTTTTCTTAAATTTTTTTTTCTCCCCTACGAATTGTGGTTTTTCTCCCCGACGGAGGGGGGGGGGGGGGAACAAGGCCTCCCCGACGGGGGGGCTGTAGCCCCCCTTAGCCCCCGTAGCGCCCCCACATGACAAGATGAAGATGTGTTTATGTGATTAAGCTGCCCCTTACCATGTTACTATACATTTGTATGTTACGGTCAAATAAAAATATAAAATGAAATGAAATGAAACTCATATTGAGGCACAGAAAAACTGGACAGCATTTATTAAGGATGCTTTATCTGTACCAAAATCTGACGATTTCCTGTGGAGGAAAGCCTAGGGGTCCACTGGCGAAGCGTTGGTGCGTTATCCCTGGCAACTATCCTAGCTAAACTGGGACGTATTGGGCAATTTAGAAGATGTTCTGAGATGTTTTAAAACATATAAATATGCCAAAAGAATTTTTGAAAGTAAAACTTCGTCCCTTTTAAACGCAACTTGGGATTGACCTGTTCGATGCCGTCCACCCTGTTGGGGCTTCATCACAGACAGGGTGTGATTCCAGACGACTTGGTATGCCAATAAACGGGGTAACTGTGTGAGGTACCTAGGGAGTCTTATTTGCAGAGTTGAATATCGTTTTCTGCAGTTGTTGTGGTCGTTACTGCTACACTATGTATATTCTTGTTACGAGGAAACGAGCCATAAAGCATTTACGATGTGACATATAATATGCCTACGCATGTTCTTGGTTAATTGATCGGAGGTTGTAAAAGTAACTACTCGGTCCACTCAAGCGAAACACACTCTCACCTCAAATAACTTTCACCTTGTTTTTTTGTTGTTTTTTTTCTATTCCACCTGAATGATTAGGCAAATTTGAGACGAACAATTTGGTGTAAGGACATTTCTGTAACATTGATGGTTGGAAGGAGTGTCTTTGTGTTGCCGGTATTATATACCGTTTGCTAGTATTGAGAGAACATTGATAGTAAGGGAGTGGGTGTCACCTCACTGTCGGAACATATGCCGTATGCTAGCCTTGCGAGAACATCGACAATAAAATACAAAAATGACTAGATTGTCATTGCTATAAAATCATTTATGAATAATAAACAATATAAAGACGTTACATACCACGTAAGACATATCCATAATAATAATAATAATAATAATAATAATAATAATAATAATAATAGTAATAATAGTAATAATAATAATAACAATAACAATAATAATAATAATGATAATAATAATAATAATAATAATAATAATAATAATAATAATAATAATAATAATAATAGTAATTTTTATAGCGCAAATATATCCACCAAAAATAGGTGCTCAATGCGCAATGTCTAAAAGAGAACAAATAATAATCACAGACATCACAAGAAAAACTCAAGAATCATTATTCATACCTTACTTTCTTATTTTACCATTAATTAAACCATCCTGTATTTCGTTGTCTTACTATTTCATGTTTCTACCCATATGTTTCCTTGTCTTTTCTTTCTCTTTCTTACATTTCTTTCCTTTACTTTCTTACGTTTTCTTTTCTTTTTCTTTTCCCTTTCTTTCTTATGATTCATTTTATTTTCCTTTCCTTGTTTATGTTTCTTATCTTTTTCTTTTCCCTTTCTTTCTTGTGTTTCCTTTCCTTATTTTTCTTATGTTTGCTTTTCATTTTCGTTTCTTTACTTTCTTATGTTTCCTTCTCATTTCATTTTCCTTTTCTTTCTTATATTTCTTTTTTTCCTTATATTTCTTATGTTTCCTTTTCATTTTCTATTCTATTCTATATACTTGGGTTGGATTGGATTTCATTCTGTGTAAACTTTAGTTGGGAATCGTTGGTTTTATAGCAATCATGATAATTAATGTTATAGGCTTCATTCACAATATGCCTATAGCTCATTAAATGATATTATTCAAACTAACTGTTTAGTTAAAATGATTTTATAATAAATTTTATACCATAGAAACCCCAAGTTTACATATTGTACTGGACGGTATGGTACCGTCCGATAAGAATCGATTGGCAGAGTGGTTAAGGGTGGGGTTGAGGAACAACGCAGCCTACAGCCATAATATAGACACTGGTTCGAGTGGCAAGCTCGTGTTCTGGTGGTAAAACAAACTCTTCTTAAATAAAGACTAAAAAGCATAGGCACAGCGTACACATTAAGTTCTATGAGCATCTTGTTACATAGATGTCCACGCTATCACAAAACAAACACGAGGCCCTATTATTATTATTATTATTAGACCTATTATTATTATTATTATTATTATTTTTATACTATTATTACTATTATTATTATTATTATTATTATTATTATTATTATTACTCTAATTATTATTATTATTACTCTAGGTTCATTTATATACGACAAGGACTATGACATAAGTGTTCATAGCGCTCCATATATCCTAGTATCAGTTATTTCAATTGAAAACCTGTTTATCCCAGAGAATTTCGTTCATCATTGTGAAAATCAAATTTTAGGTATGGCCTATCATAACTTTTTCAACAGCGGCCACCTGGTTCACATTACAGTAATTCGAAAATATGCGTAATAATAATACATTTATAATTTGGAAAGAAAGGAACTTGTACAATTTTTACTTTATTTTGTGTATCTCGTCATTATCATTAGGCCTACTTTTTTTAAATGTTTTTTTGTATGAAGAAATTAATCAAATGGTTAAAAAAATCGCTGTTTTCCTTACTTCACTTTATTAGGTAGAGCATACTTTATTATTATTATTATTATTATTATTATTATTATTATTATTATTATTATTATTATTATTATTATTATTATTAGGTATACTAACTCCCGTTTTATATTAAAAAATCACATAATCTACGCTCCATTAAGGTTACACTATTTTTACCATTACAATTTATCATCGGTATTACATAGTCATTTTCATTATTAATGATTATTTACCATGCGTCAATTCTATAAGGGAAATGGCGATTACAACTATTGAGAAAGAAAAACAATGGAGGCATTATTACTATATCGTTATCCTAATCATCATCATTATCACAATCATCAATCGTCAGTATCAATAATAATGATAGTATTAATAGTAGGCCTACTATTATTTATCAATAGATCATAATCAGTTATTATTATCAGTTAATATTAGTTACCGTACTACTTAGTTGTGTGTGAACTGAAGCCCACCATACTAGTATACGCAGTCACTGGTAGCCTAATATTCTCACAAAGGAAAAATGCCTAATAATAATAATAATAAATAGGCCTATCAGATAGGCCTGTTTGTGTAACTGTACCAGTTTAACTCATATTGTTATTCACAATGTTATTCAGATTGTTATATTTAGTCATGATAATGATAATTATTATTCTTAGGCCTATAAATTATAATAATCATTACTATATTATTATACAATTACCATCACTTCATAAATCATAATTGAATCACCATCGCAATCACCATCACTTTTTCCATTTCTCCATCAGAATATAAAAATAAAAGGCAATATCATTATAACCATCAGATCCCCATTACCATCAATTCTAATCATTACCGGTATCTAATAATATTTATAGTATTACTATTATTTGTTATTAGGCATATTAAGTAATATTTATAATACAGTCTCATGACACTTACAAACCTCGAAGATGAAAGGCAAAATTAAGAAATAGATAAATGTGTTAAGAGATTTGTTTTTTATATGGGCACTATGTCCAAACGCTTTGGTGGCTGTGGTGGCGGAGTCTGCTCTGAAGATAGTTAGCCGTCATATTCCGTGCATTCCGTGCTACATGCATTTTCAAGCAGTAGACAAAATGACGAATGGAGAGGTCCGACTTGAGATGCTAGCATGAAACCATTGCAATAGTCGATTTTTTTTTTTTTTTTTTTTTTTTTTTTTTTTTTTTTTGTGATCGGCGAAATGCTCTGATGAAAACCTTAGTTTTACTTTCGTTAGCCTGAAGTTATTTACGGTCATCCAAGTCATATAATACTGTTCCCGATAACATCGTAATATAGGCCTAGTATTATTTAGTTCACCACGCGTTTTATATAATATTTCCTGTTTCAAAGTATTATTATTATTATCATCATCATCTATTATTTAAAAAAACACGAGGTAAAACAATACCAGAAGGTTCCCCACAAGGTTGGTTAAACAACTTGATTGACAGAAGTGACAGTGAACATAATATGAGCAATGTGATGTTTGACCACAAGTCACTCAAAATATTGTTACTCTTTTTTGCTATGCTTTCTGAGTCTTAATTGTTGTGGTTGGATATGTAAATGAAGATGTGAACCAATGTTATCTGCTATGTATTCTCTTCAACTTGCCTCTTATTGGTGATGATGCTATGCTTGGCTGGTTACGCTCCTCCTTATATTCTCGATCGTCAGATGCCATTCGCCTTATCAGAGTATATAAGAGCCTACAATTCCTCAGTTAACTTTTAAACATTACCAGCCTGACAGAACAACCAATACCGGACGTTGTCAAAAAGAATTAGCTGAATAAGCGTAAATATCTGCAATTAAGAATTATGTTAAGGATTCTAGTCATTATATCGAGCATAGTATTATTAGTTGGGTCGAGGTTTGTAGACTTCAAACCCCGTTTCCCCGACTCAAAACAAGGTAAGTTATCTCGACAGACTAATGTATACCGACAGCCATATTGACCTACAGGATGTTTTTATTATCTAAAGTTTATGTTTTCCTGATCTGTTTTGTCAACTTCTCGTTTCTGTACAGTGTAAACCGTACATCACCTACACTGTACCGTAAATAGTCATGTTTAATTCTGACTTGTAGTTATAGGTTATATTTATTACTTTATAGGCTATTTTTCTAGTGCTACACATCTCTCCGAAGATATAATATGTTTAGCCACTGAATAAGAAATCAGTAGACTGGGGTGTACTGGTGATTATGAGAGTGCACTGATCAATAAACGTTTGAAACTCATAAGTCAGTATTTTTTAATGTTTCCGAAACTTCATTCGCATATCATTTTATTAGATAAGGCTTTAGATCTTAAAATCCTCTTGTATTCAATGATTAGTGTTTGTGGTTTTTAGGAAAAAGAAAGAAATTTTGTATTGTATGCTTTTTCTTTGTATTTACGGTACCTAAAAATAAAATGCATTGGCGCCTTTGTACCCTATATGTTGCTAGGCAGAACGACACACTTCGATACCCGCTGTTCAAAATGCAATATATTATTATGCTACGGTATGAATCGTAATAAATTATATAATCTCCCAACCGATGGTGACCGATACATACTCAGTGGACAATCTTGTATTTTTAAAATCATTCTGTTTGTGGTCTAAAACGCGTTGTCATTAAAGTTGTTTTTTAATCAAACAACGTTTCAGACATATAATTAGAACACCTACTGTATTATCCCCATCCCACAGAAACCAAACTGTTCGTGATGTAGAGCGTTAACTTCAATTCTGCATGCAATTTCTCTTTCCAGCGCTTTTCCTGCGACAACTAGATGCATATGACGTCATAATCCCTACTGCTGTTGACGAAGAGGGGAAATTTGTGTCACATGAGTTAAAAGATGGTCACCGTCGAATTCGTCGAAGTACTCTCTCCGAATTGAACAACATATACTTTAAAGTTCATATAAATAGAACTGAGTTACATTTAAACGTTTCGCGTAACGACAAATTGCTTTCCCCTGGATTTGTATTTGAGACCAGAGGTAACTCCACTGACGTTCGTAATCACGTGATTGTTCAGGAAAACAGTGAACACCACCACTGCCACTACCTTGGACGAATAGTTTCACAACCTGACTCTCATGTCGCTATTAGTAACTGTTATGGAATTGTAAGTACTATATTCCCTTTTTTATTCATCATTTCATGTTGTTATTATTTTAATTATCAAATAAAATTTAATAACAATAATAGGCCTAATAATAATAATAGTAATAATAAAATAATAATAATAATAATAATAATAATAATAGTAATAATAACAATAATAATAATAATAATAATGAACATTTGTGAAGCGCTGTGTGTATATTTTTTATTTATTTATATTATATATTATAAATAAATACATTGTGTAATAAAATGCCTCCTACGGGATTCAACCTGCGACCTCTCGCTGCCAAGGCGAGCGTCATACACAATAGACCACAGAGGCTTCATGGTTGAACAGTAACTGCCATGTACCGTACGTTGTATTACACAATGGTGAGCCTCGATATATATCACACACATTTCTTTTCCTTTTCGGTGAGAGCTTTCATACAACGTAAAAGTGAATGAATAGGCCTACTTCTTATGTGGTCTTGAACATGACATATTTCGTGTTATTTGTTACAATTTGCCACAGCCTTTCTTTAGGTCATCTTTGTTATTATACAAACATCTATTCCGAGGTCGTGGGCTGCATTTTGATGTCTGTTGTTGAACATTACCTTGAAGTTCTCGTTAACATAAACTCAACAATCTTTTGTACCATTTTTTACTAAGGAGCTATCTGTTGGTGGTTATGTGACATTGATAAAATGGTTTTGTTTTTAATAAATCATTTACTTGTCTTACTGATATATTGGCTCTAGTTTGACTCAGTCTCAGTCCCCTTATTACGGCTCTGACTACTCGCATCTTCCCTAGTATTTCTACAGGGACAGCGCCAGGGATTCCCAGACGTTGTGTTAATTATGGGATTCTTTATTTAAAAACGATACTTTGATAGAAAACCATGTAAGTTGGGAGTCCTCCTGCTGGGGGTACTTGCCCCCCTGTAGGGGTACTAACCCCCTGTCGGGGTACCAGCCCCCCCCCCCTGTCGGGAAACGGGGAAGAGCTGGAGCTACCACTGCAACCCATACGATGGCAACACCATCCACTGTAATTAATATTTCTCTCAAGTACAGACCATAAAGGATAACAAGATTAAAATAACTCCGTTGAACAGACAAGATTTAAGGTTTGCCTTTAACTGTCTGACAGAGTGGAAGTTTTAATGGATGGAGGCAGGAAATTCCAAATTTGAGCTTCTGCACATGGGAAAGAGTCGTCGCCGATAACCTTATTATTACTCTATGGCGCTTTAAACTGAAACATTTTCTGTAAAACATCTGTTAAGCAATACAGCCTAACACCCTCAGTTCCCTACCGGTACTTCTTTATGAGAGCAGCTTAGCTCAGTCTGCTAAACTGGTGGTAGCCACTGTGTGTGGGCTAAACCATGGATATCTCTTGGTTTAATTCCCATCGCTGGAGAGAAATGCAAGTAGCGCACCGTCTTTCGGATGAGACGTTTAAGCCGTTGAATTGGTCCCGTGTGTATTATGGTCCATGTGCGCAGTATATACTCTTCGGAAAAGAGTAGGGGATTGTCTCCCGGTTTACTGCCTAATCATCACCAGACGGACCCTACTAGAAATAAGTCTTTACACCAAATAAATCCATCCAGCATCATTATTGGCTGGTTTGATCAAGTAGGATTAAATGTTTTAAATTTAATATCACATATATTATTCTCCTGATAACGATTGGAAATGTGCTGGAGTAATTCTTCTTTATAAAAATGGTTCAAAAAGTAAAAAGTTTGGAATTATCGACCAGTAAATACTCCCTGTAGTATCCAAAGTTATCGAGCGTTTAATACATGACCGACTAAAAGAAATTTTGTTGATTCTTTACAGTTGGGTTTCAGACCATCATTTCCAACTGATTCTTACTTGATCCACTTGTCAGACCATATAAAAATGGAATGGAACCGGACAGGGGTAACTTAACTGGCATGGTTTTTTTAGATCTACCCAAAGCGTTTAACACTGCCCGATCACTTCTTGGAAAGTTAAAAGCGATGGGGGTTTCCTAAAGGAACATTGGTTTTATTTTTATCTCAATGATCGATGTCAATTGGTTGGTATTGATGGAAGTGTTGACTTCCCCAGGGTTCCATGTTTCGACCCTTGTTATTTCTTTCTTACGTCAATGATATGGAGTCTGTTATAATTAATTGTGAAGTTCTTCTATGCTGATGACACAGACCTTGTTGTTTCTGGTTTAAAAAAAATAGTGTGGAAATACAAAATAAATTAAGCAATCGATTACAATCGGTAATTCATGGCTTAAATTGATAATAAAATGTCTACCTCACAACTGGAAAGGACCTTTTTGTTTAACCTATGCTTGATACGATTGTAACTGAATCCCGACACGATGGCGTGTATTTCTATGTATTAGAGCACCAGGCGGCACGTGCCCTCGCGCTCCCACCTCCCCCGTTTTGACACTAAATCTTTAACATTTCAAGGCATATAAATGTTATGTAGTGAAATAAGGGGAAAAAATACAAATCCCCCCCCCCACCCATTTGAAAAATTATTGATCTGCCCCAGAGCACTGTTTTTATGTTTTAGGCCTATCTTATTTACCGTGGCTACCATTTCTCTGTTTTTATAACGAATCCATGTACTAATGTTGGAGCGCCACGTATACTTCAGTGTTAAAGACATTCCGTCTTTGTATAAACATTGATTAAAAACACATTAGACTAATCGATTAGATCTAAATAATAATATGTAATTGTTTATAAAAAGTGAGCATGAAATTTACAAGTTCTCTGTAGGAACATACTGGTTTTTTAGTGTGTGGCCTGTTTGTCTGCAATGATGGATGCCTTGGTTTTCACACCTTGGTTTTCACGCACTTTGGCTGGTTGACGACACCCACTTCCCAATTTACTTGCGTTAACCACACCACTTCACACCTTATCACATACATACACCTTCGGACGCGAATTAATACTGTTACATGTAGGCTATCCTAAGTTTTAAACAGCGACATCGCTATTTAAAAGACGGGCTTCATGGGTCATACCGGCTAAATCTTAAAAACTGTTCAAACATATTAAATTGCTTAATTAAGAGGTCAAATAAATGTTTAACCTCCAATAGAGACAGATCCAAAGAATAAGTTTTCGCAGACGTTTGTATAACTAAAGAAAGGCCTAGTTAAGAATTATGCGTCTTATATTATGAGATTGAAACATTTCATCTTTTGTTTGATTATTCGAAAATTAAATAGGCCTATATATATACTGTCTCTTATACACATCTAGATGTGTATAAGAGACAGGTATAGTATTTTATAAGGCATATAATTTATATAGATATAGTGCAACTTGAAAAAATGATAAAGATTAGCTCTACAATAGTATAAGGTAGCTAGGGTGATAGTAACCAACAATAATATATAATGAATAGGCCTAATAGTAATAATATTAATATTAATATTAATATTAATATTGATATTGATATTGATATTGATATTGATATTGATATTGATATTGATATTGATAATGATAATGATAATGATAATGATAATGATAATGATAATGATAATAATAATAATAATAATAATAATAATAATAATAATAATAATAATAATAATAATAATAATAATAATAATAGAGCAGCTTAGCTCAGTCGGCTAATCTGGTGGTAGCCACTGTGTGTGCGCTGAACCGTGGAGATCTCTAGGTCCCCGGTTCAATTCTCATCGCTGCCTCTCCTTGTGTTTCAGCTAGAGGGCTGAAGTACAAGTTACAATAGCGCACCGTCTTTCGGATGAGACGTTTAAGCCGTTGGTCCCGTGTGCATTATGGCCCATGTGCACGTTAAAGAACACAGTACACTCTTCGGAAAAGAGTAGGGGATTGTCTCCCGGTGTACTGTCCAATGACCACCAGAAGGACCCCACTGGAAATAAGTCTTCTTCTAGACTTTCGTGGGCTATCCTTGGTGTTCACACCGAATAAATCCAATCCAATAATAATAATAATAATAATAATAATAAAACCAGAATAAATAGTAATAAAATTATAATTAAAAGTGACCGAAAACTAAGAGAAGATTATTTAGCGGCAGAAGGAATTTACTGATGAATCCCAAGTCCTTATTGAGACCGTGAATGTGTGTTTTGAGTTTAAAAATCCATGTCAGTTCTTCTCGTTTTCTGTGTTCAGTAGAGCGGAAGTTGCTGGCTATGAGTGAATATTGTGATGGGGGAGTTAAAATGTTCCCCTACAGGGAAACTAGGGGTGTTATTGCGTATGGAATGTTTATGGTTATCGTAGGCGGAATCATGGCCTTTGTTGCAAAAAGTGCATGATATAAGGTAAATTACATTAGTAGAATCACAATTTAGAGGTGGAGGGGACAGTGTATAGTCAGATAAAGAGTTTATAATCAGATGTGTTAAGTATTATTGAGCTGTTTGTGTTAATATGGCTACAGACCTGGCATCGAGATTTATTACATGCGCTGTTACCGTTATGAGTGCTGGGTGTACGAAGTTTAGATGGTGCAAGAATGGATTTAAGTTTAGGTGGCTGTCTAGTAGCAAGGACGGGGGGCGGGGGATCCGATAAGGGGCTGGATTGTGGTGTCATTTTGAAGGGAGGCATAATCCTGTTTAAATATTTTACATAATTTTGTGATTGTCAGGATTGAAATCAAAGACCATGGGGATACGTGCAGTTAATTTTATGTTTGTAAGTGAGGAGCTCAGAGCAGGTATGAGTGTTAGCTTTCATGATAGGCCTACATGATTTTTATAAGTTTGAGAGGATAGCCGTTATTAAGAAAGTGGTCAGTAAGTTCGGTGACGTTAGTACTGTAGGTGTTTAGGATCAGAGCAAAGGCATTATATAAGATGTGTATAAGAGACAGGTTAAAGACATTCCGTCTGTGTATAAACATTGATTA